ACTTAATTCAGAACCTAAAAAATCAGCTCATAATATTATGGATTTCTTTTTGATGAAGCCTTAATTTATGGGAAACATCAGTAAGCACCTACACTTAAGAATTGTAAAACATTTTGGACCGTAGTATACACTTGTCTAATACTTCATAAATGTCTATAATCGTAAGCATCTTTGAACTGGAATGCCATTTATAATGCTTACAACCGATTTGTGTATTAACCTGTATGGATGAAAAGAAGGAAAGAAATTGTTTATGACCAGAAGAGAGAAGCTCAAAATATTGACAATAAGGAAGACAGTTATTTAAAAAATTTATTTGAGGCCCATTTTTCTGTACAGATAATGTTTAGCACCTTGCACTTCTCATAAATTTAGGCTTTGAGAACTTAATACCAGTGGGAAGAGAAAGGATGGTAACAGTGGGTGAAGAGTAGACATTTTAAATTCTATAGTTGGTTAACTTTTCTGTTACCTCTGCTAGTTTAACCAGAGTGTGACATACCATTGTCCTCTCAAATCAAGACTTTTGTTGATAGCATCAGTGTTGTAAGCCCTGAGCAGTCACTCAGATGACACATTAACTCGGACTAAACATAAACAGTATTATGTGGACTTGGAAAACCCTTTTAGAGAATCCGTGAATGTGAACAGATTAAATGTGGCTATTCACTTGATTCTTCACTATGCCTTCTAATCTGATTGCTTTATTTATTTGGAACTCTAGATTGTTATAGTATGTAGGACTAAAAGGTTTTAGAAAGGGAGTGTGTCATTAGAAATAGATGAAAACTAGAAATTGAAGTCATCACTGGTAGAATCTTAATTTTTTTTTCTTTCAGCAATCTAATGGACAGAAAAAATTTTTTAATATTTTTATTTTAAAGGGAAGCTTGTTATTTTGTTACCCAGTCCCAGAAGGATAATAGATGAAGAAGAAATTTTTTTTAGGTCTTCGTTTGAGAGAACCTTTGTTTTCTCATACAAACAGATTTCATACAAATGCTTTCATTAAGGTAATCCAAACAGTATACAGCACTGTAAACTCAACAGCAAGCAGTACTTTTATTACTGACGTTATCATGCATTCTAAGGCAGTTGGCATTTTATAACCATAGGAAGTCATTTCCCTCTCACACTTTTACTTGTACTCTCCTGTTCAGATCATGAATAGGTACTTTAATCAGTTAAAAACTAGATTCACATCAATATCACACCAATTTGGTATCTTTAATACTTAGTATTCACTTTCCTTTTATTCCATTTTATAGTAAGTTTAATTGCTTTGTCAACCAACTATACCATTTCCTTCTTGTGTAAAAGTATCATCTGGTTGGACAAATGTATTTGGAAGTAGAGTATTATTTGTATTATTAAAAGATAATCTGTACATTAGAGTTGGGGAAAGGAGACAGGATGATTTTAAAGGATATGGCTATCCTTGAAATAAGCAATTAATTTTTGTTCACTATATCATACCCTTCCCCTTTGTGTATATACCATTAATACTTAACCTCACTTAAAATTGAACCCAGGAATATCAAGGCTCTTTGGCTCTATAACTTTAGAGGACAGTCGTAATAAAAGGACTTTTGTATAAGAATTCTTTCTTCCACTTTCACTTTGTTTTGTGGTCTTTGATGGTAATTGACATTCTCCAGGTAGCCATTTAGCAATCCTTAAATATGATCTAATAGCTTCCTTATATTTTTTAGCCAAATCTTTGGAAAATATCTCTTTGGAAATAAATTTAGAACCATGCAGTCAATCATATTGATAGACCTTGATGCTTTAACAGATAATACACAAAATCAACAAGAGTTAAGTTCATTTTGTGATTAAACCTTCAACCATTATGTCACTGCTTTTTTTTCTGTAGGTGCTGGTTCTTTTCATCATTTCTTCTATTTAGTTCTACTAAAATGGAAGGCCAAAGTGAGGTTAATGACAATTTTTTTCTTGTTTTGTTATGTCTGTACCATGAGACCACTGTTGGTGATTGAAATACCAGGTGCAAAAATTAATGATTTGATTTTGTACAATTTCACTGAGTGATTTTTTTACTTATTGAAAATAAATTAAGAATATCTTTGTAAATCATATTCTGAAGTTGACTCCAGAGATTCTGATTCACTTATTTATTTTGTGAGTAATGTTGCTTTGGTATTTTCTAATTTTAAGTTTTACAGTCATGGAAATACAGTTGTCACTGTGTGTGAAGAGACATTACTTCATAGTGCTTTGGCTTCTGGAAATTCTATTAAAACAGCTGCAGAGAAACAGTTTACATAGTTGTGACTGTATAAACCTAGGAGATCTGATAAATCCCAAACCACTGGTTAGTAATTTCTAAAGTCTCATCTTTTTTAGAGTTCAAAGCAGTAATATTATTTGTCGATAAATTCCTCATAAGTTGTCCCAGAAGTAGAACTTGGAAATAAATATGTATCTTTTTAAAATGTTTGTATTTGTTATGGAACATTTTGGTGGTGGTAGTGACAGGGCATAAAGAAAATCAGTCACAACAGTCCTCACTTACCCCTGGCTTCCCTTTTCATAGTTTCAGTTATGCGTCATCAACTATAGCCTAAAAGTTGGTAAGTACAGTACAGTAAGATATATTGAGAGAGAGATTATATTCACATAACTTTTTTATTGTATATTGTTACAGATTTATTTATTACTAGTTATTGTTTATCTCTAACTGTGCCTAATTTATAAACTTTATTATAGGTATGTATGTTTAAGAAAAAACATTACATATATATAATATAGGATATGTGTGTGTGTATATATGTGTGTGTGTGTGTGTGTATGTGTATGATTTGATGCTATCCAAGGTTTCAGGTATCTATAGGGGGTAAGTTTCAGAAAGGATTCCATGTGGATAAGAGAGGATCACTGTGTATTTAGAATACACTATTTTATAATTAGTAAAATGAACACTAAATATGTGCATGTGTGTGTATAAAAATATGTGTATATGTATATATGTGTGTGTATGTATGTATGCATTCATTCATTCATTCCTCTGGCCAGCCCCATAACCTAGTGGTTATGGAAGTCAGATACCACATAGCCAACTAGTGGCTTCAAATTATTAGCTTTGTTTCTTCAAAATATGCATGCCCCAAATCCTGAGAGGAGAATAGAGGAGAAGGGATTGCAGCCTGGCTATGGCCCCTGGGGTGTGATTTCTCACTTTCCCTCTCTGTCTCTCTCTGTCTCCAGCAAGTGCACATGCCCTAAGGTAAAAACCTAAAACACACACACACACACACGCACACATACACACACTCACACACACACTTTGGTTGCATGTGCATATTTCAAATCCCATTAGGATAGAGGCACATAGAAAGGATTGTGGCATTATCATTCCCTATTGGGAATTGCCTTTCCCTCTTTCTTTGTCTGGTGAGTATATTTACTCTCTAGCAATTAAAAGAAAATAATAATGTCTACTTGTGAAAAATAATCTCTTAACCTAATTTCTTCAATTGTAATGAATGTAGTCATAAATTTATTGGGATTTCAAATATTTGATCATTTAATATGCTTACTAGATATGAATTTTACTGTTGATATTTTACTTTTCACAGATTGAAAATCAAGAAGTTGAGTTCATAGGGATCAGATTAAGTATCAGGAGGTAATTGTCTTTGTTCATTCTTTTTTTCCCATGTCTTCGCTTGGTTTTGTAAATTGAAAACTATTATATTCAAGGCCAGCCCTAATAGCCAGGGAGCCAGATACCACGGGAATTCCAAGGGGTCAACCGCAGTTGAAATCCCTACTCCGGCAGCTTGGAAAACACACCATGAATGTGTGTACATGCCCAAAATCCCAACAGGACAGAAAAACAGAGAGAAGATTGTGGCGTTGGGAGGTTCTTTCTCCTTGTCCTCTCTCTGTCTCTCTATCTGGACAAATATGCACAAAAAAAAGGTATGTGCATGTGTTTATTTGAGAGTACATAAAACACAAATATATGAAATACTTAAATAACCAGCACTCAAGTTAATAGAGCATTTACATCAGCCCAGATACTCCTGTTGTAGTCCCTTCTCAATTGCAACCAACTCCCCATGTGCATTCTGGTAATTGCCACTGTCCTACCTTTTGTCATAACTCACTCCTTGGTTTTAGTGTTACGACCTGTGTATATAAACCTAAACAGTACAGTTTGCTATTGCCTGTTTTTGAACTTTATGTCAAAAGGTCATCACACTGTGCTCTTTGGTGTCTTCTTTCATTCAGCATGTGATTCATCCATGTTGATAACGGTGTCATTTGTCGTCATTGCTATATAACTTACCTTTTCATGAATATACCATAATTTTTTTTAAGTTCATTTCCTTCCGAAAGAAAGTGAGGTCCACTCCACAGGGTCTTCACACCACAGTTCCCTCCCTGGCCCTGCAACCAGCCAAAGCATGCTAGGTGTATTCAAGTAGACCCAGGATTTGAACTCAGTCCCTCCTCACATGACTCCAGCATCTCACAGAGGCATCTCTGTTGCCCATTTCATGGCAAATGGGCTCCACAATTTATGTATTCATTCTACTGACTGTCAGTTGGAATGTTTGTTGTTTGGGGCAATTACAATTCCATAATCATTATTTTATGTATCTCTTGGTCAAAGAGGATTGCTTTTTAACTTGATCACTCCTTTTCCCTCTCTCTCTCTGTCCCTCTCTGGCAAGCTTATGCACCCTCCGGCAAATTAAAACGAGTATTTCTGATTTGGGATTTTATTTTTTCCCAGATTTGGGAATATTTGCATATACATGAGATATCTTAGGGATGGTACCAAATATCTTACAGTTTGACAGTAATTTTATGTATTATTTTTGTATTGTAGTGTTTTGACTCTGGCCCATCACATTATGTCAAGTGTGGAATGTTCTTGTGCTAGCATGTTGGCACGCAAAAAGTTTTACATTTTGGGGACCAGCAGGTAGCA